ACCCTGTCCTGGGGTCCCCCCATACACCCTGCCCCAGGCCCCCCCATGTCCACCATACCCCGGGACCCCACTGCACCCTCTCCAAGGACCCTCCCATGTCCACCTTGTCCTGGGGTCTCCCCTGCACCCCCCCCTACTCTGTGTGAGACCCCTACGTCCACCCTATCCTGCCCCCACCCCTTTCTTTAGGATCCCCCTGGACCCTGTGCCAGATCCCACCATGTCCACCCTGCCCTGGGCTCCCCTGTCCCAGGACACCCCCCCATCCTGGGGACACCCCTCGCACCCTGTGTGGGACCCCCATGTCCACCCTGCCCTGGGCCCCCACCCATGGCCGGGCTGAGCCTGTGTGTCCCCAGGAGTGGGAGGACTATCGCCTCACCTGGAAGCCCGAGGACTTTGACAACATGAAGAAGGTCCGTCTGCCCTCCAAGCACATCTGGCTGCCCGATGTGGTGCTCTACAACAAGTAGGTGGTGTTTTTCTTTTTTGGGGGAGGGGGGAGGCCACACGTGCCCCAACCCCATCCGGGGCTCGGGGCGGTGCCAGGGCTGACAGCGCATCCCTTCACCCCAGCGCCGACGGGATGTACGAGGTCTCCTTCTACTCCAACGCGGTGATCTCCTACGACGGCAGCATCTTCTGGCTGCCGCCGGCCATCTACAAGAGCGCGTGCAAGATTGAGGTGAAGCACTTCCCCTTCGACCAGCAAAACTGCACCATGAAGTTCCGCTCCTGGACCTACGACCGCACCGAGATCGACCTGGTGCTGAAGAGCGAGGTGGCCAGCCTGGATGACTTCACACCCAGCGGCGAGTGGGACATCGTGGCGCTGCCGGGCCGGCGCAACGAGAACCCCGACGACTCCACCTACGTGGACATCACCTACGACTTCATCATCCGGCGCAAGCCGCTCTTCTACACCATCAACCTCATCATCCCCTGCATCCTCATCACCTCCCTGGCCATCCTCGTCTTCTACCTCCCGTCCGACTGTGGCGAGAAGATGACGCTCTGCATCTCCGTCCTGCTCGCCCTCACCGTCTTCCTGCTGCTCATCTCCAAGATCGTGCCACCCACCTCGCTGGATGTGCCGCTGGTGGGCAAGTACCTCATGTTCACCATGGTGCTGGTGACCTTCTCCATCGTCACCAGCGTCTGTGTCCTCAACGTGCACCACCGCTCGCCCACCACGCACACCATGCCCCCCTGGGTCCGCACCCTCTTCCTCCGCAAGCTCCCAGCGCTGCTCTTCATGAAGCAGCCGCGGCAGAACTGCGCGCGCCAGCGCCTGCGCCAACGCCGCCACACCCAGGAGCGCGCCGCCGCCGCCACCGCCACCCTCTTCCTCCGGGCCGGCGCCCGCGCCTGCGCCTGCTACGCCAACCCCGGGGTGGCCAAGGCCGAGGGGCTCAACAGCTACCGGGAGCGGCAGGGGCAGGCGCCGGCCCCCGCGGGCAGCTGCGCCTGCGGGCTGGAGGAGGCGGTGGATGGCGTGCGCTTCATCGCCGACCACATGCGCAGCGAGGACGACGACCAGAGCGTGAGTCAGGGCAGGCAGGGCCCCGGGCAGGGCTGAGGGGTACGGGCAGGACTGCAAGGTGCAGGCAGGGGATTTGGGGTGTGGGCAGGGGATTTGGGGTGCAGGCAGGGGATGCAGGGCACAGGAAGGGCTGCAGGCAGGGCATGTGGGGCATGGGGAGGGCTGTGGGATACAGGTGGGGGATTTGAGGTGCAGGCAGGGGATTTAGGGTGTGGGCAAGGGATTTGGGGTGCGGGCAGGGGACGTGGGGTGCGGGAAGGGCTGCAGGCAGGGGATGTGGGGCACAGGAAGGGCTGTGGGATACAGGTGGGGGATTTGAGGTGCAGGCAGGGGATGTGGGGCACGGGAAGGGCTGTGGGATACAGGTGGGGGATTTGAGGTGCAGGCAGGGGATGCGGGGTGCAGCCAGGGCTGCAGGATGCAGACTGGGCTGCAGGGTGTGGGCAGGGGATGTGGGGTACAGGCAGGGCTTCGGGGTGCAGGCAGGGTTCTGGGGTGCAGAGCACGCGCCCCCGTGCAGGCAGGGACTTGCACAAGCACTAAGGGGGTCCCTGCCCAGGCCCATGCCTGCAGACCCCCATGCAGTGGGCCCCCAACCCACCACTGCGGCTCCAGCCCGAATCGGCTGCTCTGGAATCCCGGGAGTCTCCTGGGAGCCCTGACCCTGCGCGGCTCCGTGAGGCTGCAGATTTCGGCGGAGCCAGCCCTGGCTGGGGCTGCAGGGCCGGGGGACGCTGCAACCCCCCAGCTCAGCTCCCTGAGGAGATGAGTTTCCCGGGCTCAGCAGCACGGGTGGCAGCGAGCCCCACGGGCGAGCTGGCAGGCAGCGCTGGGAGCTGCAGTGCTGAGGGAGCAGGTTTGGGGCTCTGCGGAGCTCCCGGTCCTGCCAGAAACGGCACATCCAGCACTGGGTGATGCCCGAGGCCCTGGCCTGACCCAGCCTTTCTCTTGGCCTCCGTAGGTGAGCGAGGACTGGAAGTACGTGGCCATGGTCATCGACCGCCTCTTCTTGTGGATCTTCGTCTTTGTCTGTGTCTTTGGCACTGTCGGCATGTTCCTGCAGCCCCTCTTCCAGAACTACGCCACCAACTCTCTGCTGCAGCTCGGCCAGGGCACCCCCACCTCCAAATAGCGCCGGGGTGGCCGCCTGGCCTCCCCCCGGCCCCGGGGATAGCGAGGGACCGCGGGCTCCGCTCCCTCTCCCCACCGCCGAGCCGGGGGCCGGGTGCTGGTCTCCAGGCAGGCACTGCAAACCAATAAATACTCACACGGGAGGGGGCTGGTTCATTTTAGTGTCGTTTCATCCCCCACCGCTCCCCACAGGCAGAGGGGGGATGTGGGCAGGGCTGGGGGGGTTCCAGCTCCCGCAAGGTAAGAGGCTGGGGAGGGATGGGCTCTGGAAGAGGGAGAATCCCAATTGCTGAGGGAGGGAGCGTCGTGGCAGCGTGAAACCGGCCCCACGAGGATGTACCCGGCTCCCTCCCACGCTGCCGGGAGCACCCGCCGCTCACTGCATCTCCCCCCCAGGCCATGTGGGGCTGGTGCCCCTGCCCTGGGGGCAGCCACCAGCTCTGCTGGAGCCCAGCGCTGCCCCTGAGGCTGGAGGGGGCCAGGGGGAGACGCAGTGACGCGTGGGGAGGAGGATGGGGCTGCTCTGCTCTGGCTCCTGGAGGTGAGCACATGGAGGAGGTTATTTCTAGGTCCTACCTGCAGGCAGGGCCCGGGCAGCGAGTGCCAGGCTCTGCCCCACACTCCGGCATCGCTACCGGCCCCTGCTGAACCCCCAGCTCCCTGCAGGAATTGGGGGAGGAAAAGGAAATCAGGAATCGATTGCAGGTTGAGCTGGGAGCAGCCGGGTCCAGGGGCCAGAGGGGAGGGGGTGTGTGGGGCTGGCAGAGCCCCGGCGCCTCCGGCAACGCTTCCTCCGCGCTCCCTCACAGGCAGGAATTGGCCTCATTGGGGAAAATTGAACTGGAGCCTCGGCTATAAACACCATTAACACCTCCTGCTGGGGGGGGGTGTGTGTGCGGCAACGCTGGGGGCTGGTGGCACACACATCCCGGGGGAAGCCACAAGCTAGAAATTAATTTAAATCTCAGTGCTTCACCTGGCCAGGGAAATCCCCGGCTGCTCCAGCGGCTGCTCCTGGACACCCTCCTCTTGGGAAGTGTGTGTGGGGGGCACCCCCAAAGTTTAAATGTTAAGAGTTTTGCCCCTGAAGCAGCCCCGTGGAGGGGGTTGTCCTGCTTTGTCCCCTGCAGCCCCGGCGAGTGCTGGACAGGACCGGGGGGGTTGGTCCCACTGCACCCCGGGAGAGCAGGAGGACATGGGAGCCCTGAGAGCCACAAGCAGCTGGTAGCGCGATGGGGGGTCACTGCAGGTGGAGGAGCCCCCAGCACCGTCCTCGTGCCATTGCTGGCACCAGGATGCCGAGGCCGTTGCCATCCCTTGCAGCTTGGCACTGCAGGCAGTGACAGCCCTTCAGCCCGCCTTGAACCCGCTGCACCACAGCCCAGTGCCCACCCGAGTCCCCTCCTGCAGCGCGGGGGGAGGGGGACAGACAGAGCCAGGGCCTTGTTGCTCGGTCCGGGCTCTCCCAGCCCCAGGAATCCTCCTCCACATGAACCTCCTCCCAGTTTCTTTGATCTCACTGGTGTCAACTGTCCCATCCCAGGCCAAGGCAGCACAAGCTGAGGATTGGGAAGGAGGATCTGCAACATCTAATGAACCTGCTGCTGGATGGGAACAGCTTCTTTACCTGGGGGGGGGGGATTCTGCCCCTCTGCTCCACTCCGGGGAGACACCCCCCACCCACCCAGTGCTGCCTCCAGCTCTGGGGCCACCAACAGCAGAAGGACATGGAGCTGTTGGATGGGGCCAGAGGAGGGACATGGAGATGCTGGGAGGGCTGGAGCCCCTCTGCTGTGAGGGGGGGCTGAGAGAGTTGGGGGGGTTCAGCCTGGAGAAGAGAAGGCTCCGGGGAGACCTTGGAGCCCCTTCCAGTCCCTCAAGGGGCTCCAGGA